CTTCGTCTCCCTTTTTATACGGGCACGCATTTGTCATTCGCGAAGGAATGACGATCGCGGCTCGGAGATTTATTCCAGCTCGGGGCTGGTTTCACGGCGCGCCGCATCCTCGCTGACAAAACCGAAATTTATTTCCCAACGTCCGTCCAAATGTCCTGTAAATTACCCACCAACTGTCCAGTACCTTCGAATCACGTCTACGACGATACTTTTTATTCGATCCCATCGAAACTGTGCATCGCGTCAAGAATCGAACGATGGCGTGCCTTCTGCGCACACCTTGGTTTTATTTGAAAAAAAAAAAAACTTATATTTGTTCGTAGTGGTGTTAATGTATGCGGGTACTCGTGAAGTTGTTCATTGCTCATACGAGGCAATAAAGTTCGGAAATTCATGGTGAAATTATTACGTATTTCATTGCTGTGAATGTCACTGTGGTCACCTTCCAAGTAACAGTCATACCAGTATCTTGTTCACCATTTAAAACCGCTTTTTTTTTCCAAGAGAATTTTTATCTAATAAATAATAATTTTATTGGGACCTATTTCTCCGACTTTTTCTATTTCTAAAAATAAAAGAAATATTTTAATGGTAAGAATAATGTAAAAGCGATTTCCATTATTTTCAAAATTATTTAGATAAAGCATGGTGATTAATTTATCAAGAGGAATATATCTTGAAAATAATTACAAATTCAATAATAAAAAATAGAACTTCCATATTCGTAATCCACTTTTCAAATGAATGTAGAATAATTTTTATATAACGATTAACAAAAAAAATGTGATGAATATTAAATTTCATGATATAACGGTGCAAGAATATGAAAGTTTTATGCAAATAATTAAGCTTAAAATTACAGATCATTACAACCTACAGATGCTCAAATTTAGGCTAATAAATTCACTCGTATATAAAAGACTTTCTATTATATTTTCGTTATCTATCCACTATATCGAAGAATTAGCTCTTCGATGATACCGTTGATCGGCGTTACTAAAATTTCGAAAGACCTACCGCAGTAAATCGGGTTAATTACACGAGCGGTAGCATGCCGCGATCGATGAATGAGCGGACACGAGCATGGTGGTCCCAATTAGGTCAGTCGGGACGCCAAAAAAGGACTCGCGTTACCGTCCTTTGGGACTATGACCAAACCAATCGATGGTCATCGCCGGTTCATCAGATTTTCCTCGATTTGAAGATTTCATCGTTAACTGGAAAAGTTTTAGAGATCTCTTGCAAACTATTTCCCCCTTAAAACTTAATTTCTGTTAGCGATCTCGATCGTTCATATTAAAATTCTTCGAAGAGATTATTATTTTTGAGAATAAATCCTTTTCTCAAAAATATCTATATAAAAATATGCATAGTTTTATCTATCTATCTGTAATTAATTGGTAAAATCTTGTGACTTTGACATTAGTCATGATAAAATTAATGTAATAAATGAAATATTATAAATATCTAAATTTTATGATTCCAGAACAATAAGTAAAATAGTTGTAAATATAAATGATCCAAGTTGGAAATAAAAATGGCAAAAATATGTATTACCAACAAATAGTTAAGTTTCATTGCATTTGATAAAAAAGAGAAATAAATAAAGACAGTGGCGATTATTAAATTAATTATATTATATCTGTTGCAGACACATTTGAAAGGAGAATATAAAGGAACTTGGGCAGAGCAAACCATAATAGTGCGTGGGACAGAACCAGCTAGGACGGAGGAGGCTGCGTGCTCTGCTGGGGGCGGCTTCTTGCTTTTTCGCTTTTTTCCCCTTCCGTTCTCTTTCTTATTCCTTTTTTTTTCCTCTTTCTCCTTCTTACGATTCTCTCTCTCGTCAGACCACTTTGCTTCGAATAAAGCAACGAAAACATGCCGAGTCTCTTGAAACGCCCATAAAATGATTGACTTAAGGAGTTGGGGGATGCGTTTGTCTGTCTTTTGGGCCAAGCACACACAGCATCTTCCTCTGCGTTATCATTTCGAGTCCACTCTTATTTTTTCCACACAGCTGCTCGATTTGATATACATCTGATATTTTTGATTTATTCTTCTATCAATCATCAATTTTGATTTAAACATTCTTATCGAAGAGAGATTAAATAAAATTTTATCTGTTCTAAGAATTCATTATTTCTTCTTGTCTTAAATTAAATTGAAAATTAAATTAAAATCAAGAGTATATGATGTTATAGAGGATTAGAAATTAGAGAAAGGAACTTATATGGAGTAAACTATAGTCGGATGTGGGACAGAGCGATCCACGGAGGCTGCGTGCTCTGCTGGGGGCGGCTCACTCTTCTCTTTCCTCTCCTCGAGAGATCCTTTCTCTGCCATTCCCTGTTTTACTCCTACTCTCTTCTCTCTTTGTTCCTCCAGGCTAGGCGATTCATCGACAAGATCTCGAGAGTTGTTTTCTTGTGGTTCACATTTACTCCTTGGATCTAAGACTAGTGCTATCTCTAGGAAACAGATCTGCCAGTGTTGGATGATTGTATATTTATTATAGTGACACATTTTGAAAAGTGTATTTTGTTAGTAATAAATTCAAAGATCCTTATATGATATAAATATATAAAAGGAAAAGAATCAAAAGTAACAAAGATCAAAAATAAAATATTATGCAATTTAAATATATATTTATTTATAAAATTAATATTTATAAATTTAATCGTTTTCGATATCAAAAGTGATATTTCATCAACTTTACTATACAATACCGGTGTATGAGCATGAGAAGGGAGCAACAGGTGGATGAATACGTTTACAAACTGAATAATAGGGACACATTGAAGGCCAATTTATATCTTTCTTATCAATATCTTCTGTCAACTTGTCAAAATTATCTCTTCTGAAACATTTTGTATACATATATTAATTCCTCCTTCCTAGTTATAATTCATAAACAGAATAAGAAGTTTAATCCTCATTAGTTCTAATGTGTACTATCTTTCTGTAAATATCAAATTTCTATCTTATTACATTTAAATATATTTAAATTCTAAAGATCAAATTAGGATAATTATTTTATTAATAATATTCAAGACGATTACAAGTCTGTTCACGTGTGGTATAAGAATTAATATGCGTGTATAAATTACATATATGAATTTTCAATTTGACTCCTCAATTTGAGTTATAATTATGTACTGAATCATTTAATTATTATTTTTATTCATAATTATTATTTAAGAAATTCTGTAATAATCTTTTTTAATTTAAATATCATGAAATATCATGAAACATAATTCATACACCATCAAAAATAAATTATATTATATTTACTTTATCTTATCAAAAATATATGCTTATATAATTATGAAAGATTATAATTATAAAAAAATATCTCAAGAAAGATTGAAAGTGAAACATTGTTCCATCGTGGGTTAGTAACAACATAACAAGCTTGGATTCTTTAACACATTGTTTTTGCAAGAAACAGAAAGAAATAACAATACTTCTAGAATGGAAGTATAAGGAGAGTGCAAAAAATATATTGAACACTTGATTTTGCTTTTTTGAAAGAATTTGTGGTTTCAATAGCTCTTACAAGAAATAATAATTTTATATATTTTTCTGCTATGACCAATATTCAATTCTAGAATAAAAAAAATTACGATAAAATCGACGCATTACATCTGCGGTGATCAACTTATATTACGATTACAAAGAATAGTCGTTTTATCTCAATTATTGTTCCTCCAACAATCGCGACCAATGATCGCTCGTTTAATTAATAATTAACATGGTTATATTTTCAATTAAATAAATTACGATAATACAAAGAAGAATTTTAGTTACGCACAGCCAGATGTTTCCTTTTTCCATTTCTTTTTTCATTTCAAAGAAATATTATCGATGCATTTTCACTGTGTCGCTTTCTGTTATGTCCAATTTAATTAGTCTCTTAAATTGTGTCACTTTTTCAATTATAATCGATGAATTCGATTTGCAACAATTTACATTCGACGAAAGAGTTTCATCTTTGAAAAATAAATATTCTCAAAACGAAAATGTTAAATTATTCGATAAATTCGTGCATATTTCTGTCTCAAGAGCAATTAATCATTGATTTCGTATTATTTGAAAATAATTTATTTAAAATTTGCTACTTTTACTACTTCAAATAAAAATAATTTTGGAAAGAATAAATATTCTTGTTATTGGACAGCCTAATAGATGAAGAGACAGAACGAAGGTGTGCTGTTACACGTCACCTTTTCTTTACCGTTACTCTCTCCCTTTTTTTTCACAAAGCTTCCCTGTTTCTCGCGTGGGTGCTCGCGATGCCATATCCTTTTTGAGCTCCTATTCGAGGAGGCTGATCCTGAATAGGGATCCAAGGGCGCCTACGTAACCCTGCCCGCCATTGTGGACACGTCAACCAGTTTCCATGCCAAGGCTTCTTTTCACGCTCTTTCCACCGAGTCGTAGCAAATATACGTTTATATTCGTGATACTTTATACCAACATTTCTCCTCACAACGTCTAACATTATTTAATTATATTATAATTATTAATTCATTGTGATCTAAATGTTTAAAATTTTTTGAAATTTGATAAACAGAATTATATAATATGCAGTTAAAATTAACCACGTGACTTAGATCCATTTCATTTACCACATTCATTTTTCATTATTACACTATGATATTGCAGTATTTAAAATCATTCCAGGCTTATATTAATTTTAATAATTTTTCACAAAATAATAGAACACAATTTGATAAATATTTAGATTGAGAAATATTATAGCATTTACTCAAATTGCAGAAATTTTTATAGATTCAATTCATCGATTCGTAAACTGGACACGCAAATCAGTTCAAAAGTGATGTATGCGAGTATATATCGAGACGAGTTTCGGCTCCAGGGTCAAGGAAGCGCGATGATATAACAAGTTTCCAACAGCTCCCTCTTTTTCCGACCGATTTCTCTTGATTCGGCAGTTTCATTAATAATTCGCTTGCGAAGCTTATCTGACATCTACCGCGGCGAATAATTACGCGGCAAACGTATCCCTGAATTTCTTGTTACCACCTGCCACGGACGATTGACCAGATATAAGATAACGTGTCCACCTGACCTGTCCTCTCGCATTCGACTTTCATCTACTCAAATTTTCCGGTTGCCTCCAGCTATGACTTTTTTTGGGCATGTCTTCTGTTTGACAGCCAATAAGAATGTGAGAAGAAATAATATGTGTAAAAATGTGAGATATAGAGAATGTGATAGTAATTAAGGATCTCGTAACAAGAAGACAGATAAGCTTCTGACAGCTTTTAAGTTATTCTGTTGCGTAATACGTTTGCTTATAAAGAATTTATATCGTGTTATTTGAGGTAAGCGAATATTAAAAGTAAATGATTTATTATTAATTTTGGATTAACATATTTTTAAAATTAATTTTTTTTTATAAGAATAAGTTTGCTTTTTACAGAGTGTTCTCTGGCAACAAAATAGAAGAGGATAATCATAATTGTGCGCTCGAACACGTATAATGCAATGCTTGAAAAACATCTGTGTACATTTGTAAGTGGTTAATCGGAAATTATCAAAGACTATCTCAAAAATCTTTTACCAGTCACGCTGAAGACAGAAGCCCTCGTAGATCCTATCGTATACCTTTCTAACTTTAGTTTTCTTTCTCTTTCTTTCACTAACCTTCTATCGATCTTTTTCAGGTCATTTTGTGGTCCTTTTCCATCCTCCAGCTTTCAATCTTTCCGATCACATTACTTCGTTCCACCAATTCAAGATCTTCCATCAACCGCAAAATCACCATGCATAACGTCAACTATGACCATCCTAAGATTCTTTGTTTAAGGGTTACGTAATGACGTTAGATGGTTAAGAATCTAATCTTCGATCTTGTGTTGATAGAAAGGTCGTTTTGTAAAAAATTGGTCTTGCTAAAAGATTTTTACATTTTAGAACTTAGATTAGGTCGATTTGAAATGGAACACTATCGGATGTACATCATTTTGCAAGCCAAGTTAATGAATCGAGCAAAATGATAAATGATGCAGTTCAGATAATTACGATATAAATTATAAGAGATATATAAAAAAGGACAATCGTAATTAGCATTAAAATATATCGCTGAAATTGATAGTGGCACAACTCAAAAAACTTCAAATTTCTTTTTATTGAATACAAAGTCTACGTTATATTTCCATTTTTATATAAATTTATCAAAATTTCGCAATAATTAATTAATAATTATATACGATAATTAATAAGGCCTTATTTAACATTATCAAAGATTTTAAAAAAATCTCTTCTCTAAAATTTTGAATTTATGCCATTATCAATGTACATATATCATTTCTAAAAACAAGCTACTAATTATGTTCTCTAACATCTTACGAAAAAAAAATGGAGGAGATCTACGATAAGAAATCTTGTTAAAGATAAACAACAAATTAATTAATTAATTAATTAATAGTAACAAATTAAGATAACGATTGATTTTTCAGAAATCACGAAGAAAGATAATAGGCGAAACAGATGCGAAAATTAATTGCATATTAGTAGATTCAATTGCACAAATCAGCTACGATCGACGATTTCTCCGATCGATCCGTGAACACACGCGACGGGTCGCTCTTTCGGTTAACCTTTAGCGCGAATTCCGCAGAAGTTATTGATAGTCTTCACCCGCAATTTTTCTTCGCCTACGGTGTCTTGAGAAAGTGCAAAGAAACGCAATTCTTCGATGCAATTCATGGAATTTCAATCTTTACTGGCTAGATCGATCATTCGATAGTTCCTCAAATGATTAGATTAACATGACATAAGTAGCCGTTTGATGGATACAGAAAGTGTAGGAATAGAAGAATCAGAAAATAGAAGCTAATTCTCTTCGTGTAATTACTTCGTGTAAATATCAATACGTCAAAAGGTACTTCAATCTTCAAATTCATGATGATTTAACTTTTTTATTGAAACTGAATTCTTTCTAATTTTTCAGATGTTTGGAAACTTTTGCATTGTAAATACATAGTGATATTATCTTTCTCATACTTCATATCATCATCCATTAAATTTTAACATCATTATATACCAACCTTTGCATTTATTTTAATCTTTGGAAATATCTCTTAAATCTTCTGCTTATTTCAAAACATTCTATGACTCGTTTTTTTATTCCATTTTTATTTTTAAATATTACTACAAACTAATCAATGTGAGATGTAATACTCATACACACACACCTAATGCTTTAAAAAAACGAGAATTTTAAATATCAGTAATCTCAATTAAATAGGTAGGTTCAAAATAGAATTACAAAAATATAAATAAATATGAATAAGATTCAATCTATCTAATACATTTTGCTATCCATACCCAAGGAATTCTCGCAGCTATTCGATACGGCTAATCAGAGATCCGTTAGAGAAACATTGGACGTTTCACAGTACAAGAGTAGAAAGACCGGAAAAGTAACCACTTGGGAGTATCCTTGATCCAAACTCATCGTTTCCTTATGGCTAGCCGCTCACACCTACGCTGTCTTGCCCCTGATTAGCAGAAGGAATATATCGTGCGTAACAGGGCCGCATGCGACTTCCTTGCAAACGTTCGTTCCCATGTCTCCGATCGTTTATGGGGCTTTCCGTTGTCGCCGCTTCCCATGGACTTCCTAAACATTCACTTCCTCGAAGGAGGCAGAAGCAGATGGCCTATTAATTCGACGACCACGAAGAAGGACCGCCACCTTCGTGGCCAAGACACCCTCCACGCAACACCCCTGACCTTCTTCCCACAAGTGCACCCTGCACTTGTTCTTCCGTGGCGTGTCCGACCGTTAAGTCTCACAGATTCCTCGGCCACCTCTTCAGCAACTGACGAGTGCTTTCTTCGATTCTATATTTTAAAGAAAATTTGAACTTTTGTGAATTATTCTTATTGTGGATATGGTACAAGTCTATTTCATTTCTAGTCTAGTTATACAAATTTAGTTACACAAATCAGTTTTTAATTGAAGATATATTAGATAGAAGATTGTATTAAATTTAATGTAGATGGGATGTGAATCTATTCATTGAGTTTATATTCAGATTCATAATAGAATTCTATTTTATTTATTTTTTTGATTAATCTTAAAATGAAAAAAATCTCTTTGTTATTCGAGAATTAATAATATCGATTTCTATGACCTCGTTTCGATGATCTAAACAGTAGGGCTTTGGGGAAGAGGTAGGATAAACCGGGGTCAAAAGTAATATTTTAACTTTAGAATATGATAACTCAGAAACGAGATACAAATTTTTTATGTAACTATTTTATATATTTATCTGAAATTATTAAGTCATAGCTCTTTCGATATTACGTAAATAATAACAAAATTATCGCTCAAAAATTGGAACCAAGGAAAAGCTTAGAACTGTTTATGCAATTGTTATTGCTCGAAGCTTCCGGGTATGAATGCGTCAAAATAGAAATTTTATTCCAATTCCTTTATCAGAAATCGGATGATACATCACTGGTTACCAATAAAGATTTTTCTTTAATTGCACAATTCTAAACAATTAAAAAAAAAAAAAAAAAAAAATCACCTGGAAGCCTCGAGCAATAATAATTTCGACGAGTTTGATTATCGAGTCAAAAAAAAATCATATGCTTATCTTAAAAAGGAAAATAATAGTACGAAACTCGTATCCCATAATTTTGAAAATCATCGTCCAAGGCGCGGAATTACGCAACGGATAAGTTTGGAACGATGCCTCGGTCTGGAAACCGCAATCAGGAGAAAAAGGCTTCGAGGAGCATCGGCCGTCGACGATCCCTCGACGTGGCTTCGTCCTTCGTATCCTCCACGGAAGACACGGCATGGGAAAGAATGTCGTTGATCGAGTACGTGCACGCGCATCGAAAGCCTTTTCGCGCCGTGGAACCGGTCATAAATTCATCAGAGACTCATTTGAAACGCGTGCGTTTCGCGAATCTCAGTGTTAACGGTATCCTTAATGAAAGAATCGGAGGATTATTTTTAAATATCGATCGAGAACTTCGTATTTGTTAATTTCTCAACGAGATAGATTTCTTGTTGATAATGAGTCACCAATTACGTTGAGATTGAATGAGATGACTTACTTATTGCAGATAAATTAAAAAATCATCTGTTCGATAAATTTTTCCTATCAGATGGAAAGAAGAGAATGAATTGAATATGTTTGTTATATGATGTTGACTTGGGATTAATTTTAATATGGAGATTCAATTTTGTTGTTTTAAAGCTTTCTTTTTAAACTTTTTTTGTATTTTCTGTTAATATTAACATGAATAGAAAGGAAATAATATTTATAATAATTTTCATCTAGGAATATATTTGATTCAAAATTACATAACTTTAGTTAAATTATTGAATATATTTAATTTCTATTTATAGAATATCATTATAAAATACAATAAAAGTTTAAAAAAAAAATTAGGATCGCTTACAATAATGATATCAGTTTTATGTCTTTTTTATGACACTATAAATATTCACACAATCGATTTTCAAATTCACCATCTTGAAAACGATCATTCCCTTATATCCAATCGCCAATAATTTAACTTGACATGACATAACCTAAACCACACAATACTACACTAAAAATACATATCAAATTTTAAACATTTTACTTGTAACAAATTTGAATCAATGGATGCTTAAATTTGAAATCGATATATCTCCATTCTGCTATCAGAAAATGTAGAAATAACTTCGAAGAAAAATAATGTTTTTTTAAGAAAAACAATGTTTACCCAAGATTGAGGAGGACAAGTTGGATACGTTCGACGTTGACTTGGATTGATCAGGGTAGCAAGAGGAGCCCGTTGCCACGGCGAATAAGATTAATAAATCCAAGAGGCGGGTAGCGCGCGCGCGCTTGGTAACAATAACGAAACACCTTTTATGCACGCGTGGATCCCACCTCTTCCTCCTCCACAGCCAGCGGCGCATCTACCGCAACTACCATCCCGGTTGTCTCGCTCCATCCACGAGCGCGAGCTTCTTCGCATTCACCTGCTGCTATTCGAAGATCAGCTGCCCTAACCGCCACCTTGGCAGCACCTTGCCCCTTCGCTATCCTCCTTCACTTCGACCGGTACCCTCGGCATGTTGCGCCGCTTCTTCTCCTCCTTCTTCCACCGCTTCTTCAACCCGTTCTTCAACCCTCTGTCCGCGGCGAATCGTTTCTTTTTCCATTGCCTCCGCCTCTCCACGTCGATCGCCTTCCTCTCTCTCTCTGATTCTCCTTCCGCGCTTCTGTTTCTTCTTTACCTGTCCTCCTCTTCTTCTGTTTCTCCTCCTCCTCCTCCTCCTCCTCTTCTTCGTGACTGTCTCGTCGAATCGACCGCATGCTCCCGCACACACGGCACGGATTTTTTCGAAAAAAAACACAGCTGCACTGCTCTTTTATGGGGGTCCGTTGGCTACGCACGCCGAGCGCGAACACCGTGCAGC